AAAATAGATGAAACGATGTAAGAATGCAGATATTAATATGGTTATACGTATTCCAATTAAAATAAAACAAAACAGTGAATACCAATTAAAAAAAACTTAAGATCAGAGAAAACCTTGGTTAATACTGGTTAGAAAATATAGTCGCATAGTTATATGTTAGCAGGCAAGAGTACTGGTTTATGCTGATTCAAGCGTTAGCTAGAAAAATATGTAAGTTTGTTTGCGGTAGATTTAAATAGGGTTGTCACGGCATGGGACAATTGGCCGAATGCAGTATACTCTTTTCTCACGTTATCTCTTCTGCATTTAATAATTCTGAAAATTTTATTATTAATTTTATTATTATTATTATTATTAAGTATACATTTGTCTGTATCTGTCATTTGTTTTAAGCTTTCATTATATTCTTACAAACCTTAAATCTATAAGTTTGTATTATCATTCACTTTTTACTGTACTTATCTTGCTAATCTTTTAACTTAAATCTCCACAATTCCTCACCACTACTGATCTCGTGTGTCCTTTCCGGCGTAAACTGTCACTTACCAGGTCGTAAGATAAGATATGAGTAACATAATGACTTACGAGATTGGGTTGGGTGGCCCTCTGTAGTGAATGTCCTGAAGGAGATAAATGTTGCTTCATGACAGTGGATCAATGGCTTTAATTACTCTCTTATAAGTTAATGTTTTTCTTCACCCTAATTTCTTTAACACATGCTCTATAAACTTAAATCTATTAGAAAATGTTATCACCCTAGTCCCAGTTCACTAACCCTTAGATTGCAGGTGGTGTCTTGTACTTAACTTTACCTTTGGGAGTCACTTGGTAGAGCGAAGCGGTAGATGAAGGATATAGAGTAGTAGAGGATAATGAATAAGAGCATTTCAGGCCACACCATCTTGAAGACGCTCCCTCGCCACCTGAAGGCAAGGTCACTGCTCTTTCATTTACATCTCTCTAGAATTACTAAGTTGCAGAGTCAACATTTACAGCAATGGGGATAAAGACATACACACAAAAATAATAATAGCATGATATATCAAATGAACAATTCCACAAGGGCCGTGATGAGGGTTCGAACCTACACCCGGGAACCTACGACTAAGGCACGTCTGGGATCATCCCGGACGACGATACACTCTCTCCGCTATCATCCCGATTGTTTCATCCGTGAAACAATCGTGATCCGGCCTGTACTCCTCTTGACATACCAGAAAACATTCTAAGGAAACTACTCCAAGCTTGTACTAAAGAGGCACCCTTCTTGAGCCCGGATGGACACATGTATAAGCAAGTAGATGGGGTCGCCATGGGTTCTCCCCCTAGGTGTCCTGTTTGCGAACATCTACATGGTTACCATCGACCAAAAGGTCTTAGTCGACATGAACTTGAAACCGGCCATATACTGCAGGTATGTTGACTACATTTTTACACAGGTATCTGATGTCAGAAATCTGCAGGAGCTGAAGGAGGCATTTGAGCGGAATTCTGTGTTGCGTTTCACTTACGAGATGGAGAAGGATGGGAAGCTGCCCTTCCTAGATGTAACAGTCATGGAAAGGAGCGGAGGTTTCCACACCGCAGTCTACACTAAAGAAACAAACATAGGAATGTGCCTCAATGCCAACAGTGACTACCCAGACAGGTACAAGAGGAGTGTCGTTAACGCTTATGTCGACCGTGCTCTCAGCCACAGCTCAGTTTCGTTGAAGACATCATAAGAAGGAAGGTGAAACGCCATGCAACCTCTAAAGAGCCAATTAACACAACACCTGTACCCCCTATTAGACTATTTTACAGGAACTTCTTTTCCACAGCTCATAAAACGGAGGAAAGGGTCCTGAAAGATATTGTTAATAGAAACGTTTGCCCTTCAGACAAAAATCATAAGATACAATTGACGATCTACTATAAAACCAAGAAACCGGCCAACCTACTCATGAGAAACTCTCCAGACACAAAGCAGAACGCTTTAAAAGAGACCAAGGTCGTCTATGCCTTCAAATGCCCACTTGGGGACTGTAAGCCTCAAAGAATTCAGTATATAGGCAAGACAACAACATCTCTTTCCAGGCGATTAACGATGCATAAGCAACAGGGCTCCATTAAGGAACATATAATCTCTTCCCATAACCAGAACATCACCAGAGAAGTCTTAACAAAAAACGCGGAAATCATCGATAGATACAGCGATAGCAGGCGGTTTGATATCTGCGAGGCACTACACATTAAGAAGTCGACACCAGCAATCAACAGCCAATTAATACACAACTATATTCTACCCACTTCAAGACTCCACACCAATATAGAAGCATCAAGAAATATGGGCCAATAGGCCCTCTGCAATTACTTCCATTCTTACCCTCAATACCCATTGTTTCGTGTTCTATCCTGTGTTGAAAGTTTTGTTCACCTCATCCAAAACTGTTGTAACATATCACCTCACCCAAAATGCGGGTATAAAATGAAAAATGAAAGCTGTTTAAATCATAGCATAAGTAAGAACTCTGTTTAGTGTTTTCAGGTAGTAGTTGTGTGTGCAAACAAAAAGTCTTTAGTTTACACACCCTAACTATAACTTGCAAACACTAAACAGAGTTTAAACAGCTTTGATTTTATATCTGCATTTGGGTGAGGTGATATGTTACAACAGTTTTGGATGAGGTGAAAACAAACTTTCAACACAAGACAGAACACGAAACAATGGGTATAATATTTTGTAAGTTAAAGGGAAGAATGGAAGTAACTGCAAAGGGCCTATTGGCCCATATTTCTTGATGCTTCTATATTGGTGCGGAGTCTTGAAGTGGGTAGAATATAGTTGTGCATTAATTGGCTTTTGATTGCTGGTGTCGACTTTTTAATGTGTAGTGCCTCGCAGATATTAAGCCGCCTACTATCGCTGTATCTATCGATGATTTCCGTGTTTTTTGTTAAGACTTCTATGGTGATGGTCTGGTTGTGGGAAATGATTATATGTTCCTTAATGGAGCCCTGTTGCTTATGCATCGTTAATCGCCTGGAAAGAGATGTTGTTGTCTTGCCTATATACTGAATTCTTTGAGGCTTACAGTCCCCAAGTGGGCATTTGAAGGCATAGACGACGTTGGTCTCTTTTAAAGTGTTCTGCTTTGTGTCTGGAGAGCTTCTCATGAGTAGGTTGGCCGTTTTCTTGGTTTTATAGTAAATCGTCAATTGTATCTTCTGATTTTTGTCTGTAGGGATAACGTTTCTATTAACAATATCTTTCAGGACCCTTTCCTCTGTTTTATGAGCTGTGGAAAAGAAGTTTCTGTAAAATAGACTAATAGGGGGTACAGGTGTTGAGTTAGTTGTCTCTTCAGAGGTTGCATGGCATTTCACCTTCCTTCTTATGATTTCTTCAACGAAACCATTGGAGAAGCCGTTGTTGACTAGGACCTGCCTTACCCTACAGAGTTCTTCATCGACTTGCTTCCATCCTGAGCTGCGGCTGAGAGCACGGTCGACATAAGCGTTAACGACACTCCTCTTGTACCTGTCTGGGCAGTCACTGTTGGCATTGAGGCACATTCCTATGTTTGTTTCCTTAGTGTAGACTGCAGTGTGGAAACCTCCGCTCCTTTCCATGACTGTTACATCTAGAAGGGCAGCTTTCCATCCTTCTCCATCTCGTAAGTGAAACGCAACACAGAATTCCGCTCAAATGCCTCCTTCAGCTCCTGCAGATGTCTGATATCAGGTACCTGTGTAAAAATGTCGTCAACATACCTGCAGTATATGGCCGGTTTCAAGTTCATGTCGACTAAGAACTTTTTGTTCGTTGGTACCCATGTAGAAGTTTGCAAACAGGACACCTAGGGGAGAACCCATGGCGACCCCATCTACTTGCTTATACATGTGCCCATCCGGGCTCAAGAAGGGTGCCTCTTTAGTACAAGCTTGGAGTAGTTTCCTTAGAATATTTTCTGGTATGTCAAGAGGAGTACAGGCCGGATCACGATACGCTCTGTCCGCTATCATCCTGATTGTTTCATCCACAGGTACGTTGGTCAACAGTGATTCTACGTCCAACGAGGCTCTTATCCCTGTGGCCCGTGTTCCCCGTAGTAAGTCAACAAATTCCTTTGGAGACTTCAGGCTGAAGGCGCAAGGGACACAAGGAGTCGGCAAGCCGTTGAGTCGCTTTGCCAGTCTGTACGTGGGTGTGGGTATCTGGCTGATGATTGGCCGAAGCGGGTTTCCAGGCTTATGTGTCTTGACATTTCCATATGTGTATCCAGGTTTGTATTCCCCAATAATCTTTGGCAGGTGGAGTCCGGATTTCTTGGCGTTCACAGTTTCGATCAATTTGTTGACCTTTGCTTTCAATTCGGCTGTAGTGTCCTTCGTTACCCTTTGGAATTTAGTTTGGTCAGAGAGAATGAGGTTCAGTTTCGCCAGATATTCGTCTTTTTTAAGAATGACGACTTATATTGGCGACTTGTCACCTCTTCTGACGACTATCTCCTTGTTCTCACGAAAGCTCTTAGCTGCCGCTTTGAGCTCGGGGGACAGTATGGTGCTTTTGTAATTGCCTCGATTCTTTCCTCCTTCCGCAATAAGTTCTGGCTGTAAGGTGTCTTTGGTGGTGACCTTCTTTTGTGTCTCGAGGTCGAATATGTCGTCCAACAGGATCTCCAACTCCACTTTCCGGGCCATCTCACTTGGTCTGGACATAACGTGACAGTTTATACCCAGATTTAGGAGAGTGACTTGGTCCTCAGTGAGGATGATTCCTGCAAGGTTCAGGAAGCCGTCTGAAGACTCCGCACTGCTGGAGTCTCCAGGAAAATGCCGACACACACACCCAGGGGAGTCGCACAATGTAGATTTGTATCAGGGTAATCATCAGAGGAAGTCAACAAGATCCGTGTGTAAGAAAGTGAATAAGTAATAATATCATCGTTGACAATAACGATATTCACCCAACATGATACATATAATGAGGAAACATTAGAACATTATCGTATGCTTAATAAGCGCTGCTTCATGCTGGGCGGGGGGGGGGGATGAGCATATTCTTAAATACCTTTATTAGCCCCATACAATATCAGAATAATTTACTACATTATCTATGAGTTAGATAAACTTCGTTCCTTTCCCTCGTCCCAACCCAGATCATTATCCTGACCACTTCCAAGTGCGATATAGCCTTAATGGCTTTGCGCTTCCCCTCATATTTCCCTCCCCGACAGGAGAGCGAATAAGGTACATTTAAACAGCTGAAGACGTAATAATGATTAACTACAGACCACAAGTGTATCTTATTTGCATTCCCCAATTTTCGCCACAATTACAGACACCAGTCTTGCATAATCAGTTACCTTTACGGAAACATAACTGAAGTGTATACATGTATGAAAGGGTATAACAAAGGAGAGATAAACAAAGTTTTGTATAAAAGTCAACAAAGAGTGGAACTCGAAACAATTGATATAAATTGGGAAGGTTTAGATTTATGATTAACCTGGGTAAATACTGGTCTGAAAACAGGAGTGTTAAAGCGTGAGCCAAACTAACGTGTAACATGATAGACGAAGGATCACTTGATTGTTTTAAGCGTAAGCTAGACATATATGAAAATGTTTTGGTGGATATACATACGAACTACGTCGTATACGTCTTAGGCAGTTTAAATAGTTCTCTAGTTACTACATTGTGGTGGACTCAGCAATTATTCAGTGAAGGTCATTCTGTCATTTATACGATCATTTTGGAGCTAATGTAAGTGAACTACGGGACCAAATACCTAATAAAGTATGAACTATGGTCTCTTTGGATTGGGTAGTGTTCCCTATTATTCTTGATGGGAAGAGACACAAGAGTGAGGTGGGGGAGAGGGAGAAACAGGAGTGAGGTGGGGGAGACATGAGACACATGTGTGAGGTGGGAGGAGACAAGTGTGTGGGATGCAGGAGAGGTAGACAAGAGACAAGTGTGTGGGGGTGCATGAGAGGGAGACAAGAGACAAGTGTGTGGGGGTGCAGGAGAGACAAGGGACAAGTGTGTGGGGTGCAGGAGAGACAAGAGACAAGTGTGTGGGGTGCAGGAGAGGAAGACAAGAGACAAGTGTGTGGGGTGCAGGAGAGGTAGAAAGAGACAAGTGTGTAGAGTGGAAGAGAGGGAGACAAAAGACAAGTGTGTGTTGGGTGCAGGAGAGGGAGACAAGAGACCAGTGTGTAGGGTGCAGGAGAGGCAAGAGACAAGTGTGTGGGGTGCAGCATAGGTGCACAAGAGAGAAGTGTGTGGTTTGTAGGAGAGGTATACAAGAGACAAGTATGTAGGTTGCAAGAGAAAGAGACAAAAGACAAGTGTGGGGGTGCAGGAGAGCTAGACAGGAGACAAATGTGTGGGGTGCAGGGGACACAAGAGACAAGTGTGTGGGGGTGAAGGAGAGACAAGTGACAAGTGTGTAGGGTGTAGGAGAGACAAGGGACAAGTGTGTGGGGGTGCATTAGAGAAAAGAGACTAATATGTAGCGTGCAGGAGAGGTAGAGAAGAGACAAGTGTGTGGGATGCAAGAGAGGTAGACAAGTGTTTGGGGTGCAGTAGAGGGAGGCAAGGGACAAGTTTGTGGGGTGCAGGAGAAGTAGACAAGAGACAAGTGTGAGGGAGAAGGAGAGGTAGACAAGAGACAAGTGTGAGGGAGAAGGAGAGGTAGACAAGAGACAAGTGTGAGGGAGAAGGAGAGGTAGACAAGAGACAAGTGTGAGGGAGAAGGAGAGGTAGACAAGAGACAAGTGTGAGGGAGAAGGAGAGGTAGACAAGAGACAAGTGTGGGGGGTTCAGGAGAGGAAGACAAGAGACAAGTGTGAGGAGAGGTAGACAAGAGACAAGTGTGGGGGGGGTGAAGAGAAAAAAGTGTGTGGGTGTAGGAGAGACAAGAGACAAGTGTGTGGGGTGCATGAGAGGCAAGAGACAAGTGTATGGATAGCAGGAGAGACAAACAAGAGACAAGTGTGTGGGGTGCAGGAGAGACAAGAGAAAAATGTGTGTGGGTGTAAGAGAGACAAGAGACAAGTGTGTAGTGTGCAGGTGAGGTAGACAAGAGACAAGTGTGTTGGGTGTACGAGAGGTAGACAAGAGACAAGTGTGTGGGGTGCAGGAGAGACAAGAGACAAGTGTGGGGTGCAGGAGAGACAAGAGACAAGTGTGGGGTGCAGGAGAGACAAGAGACAAGTGTGTGGGATACAGGAGAGACAAGAGACAAGTGTGGGGTGCAGGAGAGACAAGAGGCAAGTGTGTGGGGTGCAGGAGAGACAAGAGACAAGTGTGTGGGGTGCAGGAGAGACAAGAGACAAGTGTGGGGTGCAGGAGAGACAAGAGACAAGTGTGTGGGGTGCAGGAGAGACAAGAGGCAAGTGTGTGGGGTGCAGGAGAGACAAGAGACAAGTGTGGGGTGCAGGAGAGACAAGAGGCAAGTGTGTGGGGTGCAGGAGAGGTAGACAAGAGACAAGTGTGGGGTGCAGGAGAGACAAGAGACAAGTGTGTGGGATACAGGAGAGACAAGAGGCAAGTGTGTGGGGTGCAGGAGAGGTAGACAAGAGACAAGTGTGTGGGGTGCAGGAGAGGTACACAAGAGACAAGTGTGTGTGGGGGTGAAGGAGAGACAAGAGACAAGTGTGTATGGTGCAGGAGAGGCAAGAGACAAGTGTGTGGAGGTGTAACAGAGACAGGAGAAAAATGTGTGTGGGTGTAAGAGAGACAAGAGACAAGTGTGTAGTGTGCAGGTGAGGTAGACAAGAGACAAGTGTGTTGGGTGAAGGAGAGACATGAGACAAGTGTGTTGGGTGAAGGAGAGACATGAGACAAGTGTGTTGGGTGTACGAGAGGTAGACAAGAGACAAGTGTGTGGGGTGCAGGAGAGACAAGAGAAAAGTGTGTGTGGGTGTAGGAGAGACAAGAGACAAGTGTGTGTTGGGGTGCAGGAGAGACAAGAGACAAGTGTATGGGTAGCAGGAGAGATATTTGGCAAGTGTGTGGGGTGCAGGAGAGGAAAACAAGAGACAAGTGTGCGGGGTGCAGGAGAGGTAGACAAGCGACAAGTGTGTGGGTGCAGGAGAGACAAGAGACAAGTGTATGGGTTGCAGGAGAGATATTTGGCAAGTGTGTGGGGGTGCAGGAGAGGGAGACAAGAGACAAGTGTGGGGGTGCAGAAGAGGGAGACAAGAGACAAGTGTGTGTGGTGCAGGAGAGACAAGAGACAAGTGTGTGTGGTGCAGGAGAGGTACACAAGAGACAAGTGTGTGGGGTGAAGGAGCGGGAAACAAGAAACAAGTGTGTGTGGTGCAGGAGAGACAAGAGACAAGTGTGTGTGGTGCAGGAGAGACAAGAGACAAGTGTGTGTGGTGCAGGAGAGACAAGAGACAAGTGTATGTGGTGCAGGAGAATGAAGAAGAGATATACTTACATGATTAAGAGCTTCCATAGGGAACCGAAGACACCCTGGCTTGCAATCTTATCAGTATATTTGACGGTCATGGCTGAGTAGACCGGCTGTGGCGGAGGACGGCTGTGGCGGAGGACGGCTGTGGCGGAAGACGGCTGTGGTGGAGGACGGCTGTGGTGGAGGACGGCTGTGGCGGAAGACGGCTGTGGTGGAGGACGGCTGTGGTGGAGGACGGCTGTGGCGGAGGACGGCTGTGGTGGAGGACGGCTGTGGTAGAAGACGGCTGTGGTGGAGGTGTGGTACCCAGCAAGAGTTAGGGCAGGTACCACTGAAGGTGTGGTTCCCACTAAGGGTAGGGGCAGGTACCACGGGAGGTGTCGTACCCAGTAACGGTAGGGACAGATACCACTGGAGGTGTGGTACCCGGTAAGGTTAGGGGCTGGTACCACTGGAGGTGTGGTACCCAGTAAGGGTAGGGGCAGGTAGCACTGGATATCTTCACTCAACACCTCTGAAATTTACGTGATTATAAATCTGGTTTCATTATAATATAATTTTTTTTTTTTTTGCTCTCATGAACAATCAGTAATTAGTTGAACAATCCCCATTTCCCAGAATGATATAAAAATAAACTGAATGTAGTGTAGCATTCCAATTCAATTATTGCTAAATTGCAAATCATTATTTATATTAAAATCAATTTAAATAATAACAATAATAAAATAATAATAATATTAATAATACAGTAATAATAATAATAATACAGCAATAATAATAATAACTATTATAACAATAATAATAATATTATTCAGAGAGTAATCACACTAACGTGATACATCAATGAGAAAATTCCTAGGAGTGGTTTTGTGGATTCGAACCTTTGCACTGGATGTCGTTGTCTAGTCGCATTTATTACTGTGTGTAATATTACTTAATTATTATATTAATAATAGTCGTAATATTACTATTTGTTGAGTCGAGACTATTTTTGCCTTGCGTTACTGTGACCAGTAAGATATGCTCCCCTGGATGAAAGGTACAATATCTACACTCACATGCATAATTTATAAGGACAATATATGTATATTAATGCATATGCATACTCACACATCAAAACATGGATTCATAGATATTTACCACATATATAAATCAATGATTCGTGGAGGAAAAACTTGCTTAAGCAACTTGCAAATTAAGATTTTTACAATTGACTGGAAAAAGTACAAATGTAACTTACTATGACGCAGTGTGATGATTAAGACAATGTCTGAGGCTGCTATTTAGGAAACAGCAGGTATCCAGTTTTCCTCAAAGGTCACCATCGCTTGAGGCTTTCCCGAAGTTCCACCTGTCTTCCTGAGGAATTTTTCCAAATGTATTTAACAAGGAACCATTTGATATTTATGGTTTTAATGGATAGAAATCTATGGACTTATGACTTTAATGGATAGAAGTCTATGGACGTTTGATATTAAGGGATACAGATCTATGGACATATAACTTTAAGGGGAAGTAATCTATGGACATACGGTTTTAATAGGTAGAAGTCTATAGGCTTATGACTTTAAGGGATAGAAGTCTATGAACTCATGACATTAAAGGGTAAAGGTGTATGGACTTATGACATTAAGAGGTAGAAGTCTATGGACCTATGACTCTAAAGGATAGACTTGTATGGACTTATGGCTTGAATTGGTATACGTCTATGGACTTATTATTTTAATGAATAGAAGACTTAAAGATGTGTTACAAGAATCTCTCTAGGAAGGTGATTGTGCCTGTTCCATCATCACCTATTCTACCACATTACATCTGCATATTCACGAATCAAGAGCAACAACAACTATAGTGCTCTGAAGTCTAGACAGTGTACAACCACCCAACCTCTCCCAGGGCCCGTCAGCCCAGCACATCTGGCAGCCCCCAGGATCATGCCACTGGCTGTTAACAAGCGCAGTGTTCATTTCTACCTGCCGGCTTCAATTTATATGAACACCTGCGCCACCTGGATGGTGACTGTCCTGTATATATAGCAGCCAGCCAGCACCACCAAGCAGAATACTCCTCAGTGTCCACCTGCACACACAATACCCTGTGTGGTGGTAGATTTACGCAGCCTAGTACTTAGTACATTCAGCACCATTTTATTTCTTTTTTTTTAACGGAACGTTAACTTGTCTGTTTAATTGTTTTTACATTTTGCACTTGTAAGTAAGTTTTATTTTGTTTTTACTTTTTTTATATGTGCCTTCCATATCATCTGCTCTAAGCCACTGCTATTAGTTATTTTACCGTTACAGATGAAATAATTATTCTAGGAAGTGTATGCAATTTAAAGACCCCTCAGTAATATACAGACCATTTAACAATTACAAAGACACGCCAGCCTTGTCTTATTAATGCCACGTAATTCACATTTAAACTATAAATAACAATCACTTGTCATCAACACATCAGTGTGGAAGACAGAGGACATGAACAACATGGAGGAGTTAATGCTCAAGCGGATGTTGAGTATGGAACGTGAATTTCTGGTGGAACGTGTTGTGTATATTGGTGTGAAGAACATAAGAACAAAGGTAACTGCAGAAGGCCTATTGGCCCATACGAGGCAGCTCCTATCTATAACCACCCAATCCCACTCATATACTAGTCCAACCCGCGCTTGAAACAATCGAGGGACCCCACCTCCACCACGTTACGCGGTAATTGGTTCCACAAATCAACAACCCTGTTACTGAACCAGTATTTACCCAAGTCTTTCCTAAATCTAAACTTATCCAATTTATACCCATTGTTTCGTGTTCTGTCTTGTGTTGATACTTTTAATACCCTATTAATATCCCCTTTGTTATGTCCATTCATCCACTTGTAAACCTCTATCATGTCACCCCTAACTCTTCGCCTTTCCAGTGAATGCAACTTAAGCTTTGTTAATCTTTCTTCATATGAAAGATTTCTAATTTGGGGAATTAACTTAGTCATCCTACGCTGGACACGTTCAAGTGAATTTATATCCATTCTATAATACGGCGACCAAAACTGAACTGCATAATCTAAATGGGGCCTAACCAGAGCAAGATATAGCTTAAGAACCACACCAGGTGTCTTGTTACTAACGCTTCGATTAATAAATCCCAGTGTCCTATTCGCCTTATTACGAACATTCATGCATTGATCCTTTTGTTTTAAATTCTTACTAATCATAACTCCCAGATCCCTTTCGCAATCCGACTTCGCAATCTCAACACCATCTAGCTCGTATCTTGTAACTCTATCATCATTACCTAGCCTCAGAACTTTACATTTATCAGCATTAAACTGCATCTGCCAATCCTTTGACCATTTCAAAACCCTATCTAGATCAACTTGAAGTGATAGTGAGTCCTCCTCCGAATTAATTTCCCTACCGATTTTCGTATCATCGGCAAATTTGCAAATGTTGCTACTCAAACCTGAATCTAAATCATTTATATATATTATAAACAACAGAGGTCCCAGGACAGAGCCCTGAGGTACTCCACTAACAACATTATCCCACTCTGACTTAACCCCATTTATACTAACTCTCTGTTTCCTTTGGAATAGCCATGCCCTAATCCAACTTAATATAGCACCCCCAATACCATGAGCTTCTATTTTTTTAATTAGTCTTTCATGTGGCACTGTATCAAAAGCTTTGCTAAAGTCAAGGTACACAACATCACAATCCTTACCACTATCAACTGCCTCAACTATGCTGGAATAAAAAGTTAGCAAATTTGTTAAACATGAACGGCCATTTGTAAAACCATGTTGCGACTCATTTATTAATTTATGTTTTTCAAGATGGAGACGAATTGTATTTGCAATTATTGATTCAAGTAACTTTCCCACAATAGACGTTAGGCTAATTGGCCGATAGTTTGACGCAAGTGATCTATCTCCTTTCTTAAAAATTGGTACCACATTAGCTACCTTCCATGACTCTGGCACTCTGCCTGACTCTATTGATTTATTAAATATGGTAGACAGTGGCTCGGAAAGCTCCTCTTTGCATTCTTTAAGCACCCTGGCAAACACTTCATCCGGCCCTGGGGATTTGTTTGGTTTTAGTTTTTCTAATTGTTTAATTACATCCTCCCTGGTAACTGCTAAACTAGTCAACCTGTCCTCATCCCCACCCACATAGACTTGTTCGGCTGAAGGCATATTGTTAAGTTCTTCTTTAGTAAATACAGATATAAAATATTTGTTAAAAATACTACTCATCTCCTTGTCATTATCCGTTATTTGACCTGTCTCAGATTTTAATGGACCTATCCTTTCCCTAGTCTTAGTTCGATATAACTGAAAAAACCCTTTAGGATTTGACTTTGCTTGCTCTGCTATGCGAACTTCATAGTTTCTTTTTGCTTTCCTAATCTCTTTTTTAACATTTCTAACCAGTTGTATGAATTCCTGTTCTAAACTGACTTCCCCATTCTTAATCCTTTTGTACCAAGCTCTCTTTTTACCTATAAGGTTCTTTAAATTATTTGTTATCCACTTTGGGTCATTAGTATTCGATCTATTCAATTTGTATGGTATACTACGTTCCTGTGCTTTGTTTAGAATATTCTTAAATAAGTTATATATTAAATCCACATCGAAATCCCCTTTTACGTCACCTATCGCTGGGTTCATGTCTCGCTCCAAGACCGGCCCACACCCCATACCCAAGACTTTCCAATCTATTTGACCCAAAAAATTTCTTAGGCTATTAAAATCAGCTTTTCGAAAATCTGGCACTTTAACAGAATTTTCTCCTACAGGTCTATTCCATTCTATGCTAAATCTGATTACTTTGTGATCACTGTTCCCTAGCTCACTCCCTATTTCGATGTCATTAATTTGTGTTTCCCTGTTAGTTAACACTAAATCTAAAATATTATTTTCCCGCGTTGGTTCCTTAATGTGTTGCGTAAGAAAGCAATCGTCAATTAATTCTAGAAAATCTTCTGCTTCACTATTCCCTGTTTTGTTCACCCAGTTTATTCCACTAAAATTAAAGTCACCCATGACATAAATACTGTTAGATCTAGATGCTCTAGATATTTCATCCCATAGATGCTTTGCTTCCATTCTGTCTAAATTTGGTGGCCTATATATAACTCCTATTATAATATTATTTGCTTTTTCGTTTAATTCTATCCAAATAGTTTCTGTGTGTGGCTCAGTTTTGATTCCCTCTTTGAGACTACATTTCAAATTGTCCCTAACATATATGGCTACTCCCCCTCCTCGTCTAATATATCTATCTGTGTGAAATAGTTTAAATCCATTTATTTGATATTCAGCTAATAGTTCTCTATTTTCTACATTCATCCACGTTTCGGTAAGTGCAATAATATCTATTTTTTCTGTGCAGACAAGAGCATTTAATTCGTTAATTTTATTTCTTAGACTTCTACTGTTAGTGTAATATACCCTAAGTGAATTGTTATTTTGAGGCCCTTTTCTTTCCCTGATCATTTTGCCAATTCTTTTCTCCCACGAACACATACTTTTATTACCTCCTTCCTCCAAATCAATTCCCATACCACTATCTACTAACAGTTTAAACCCAAACAAACACCTCTAACCACTGGTTCCAACGAGTTCGCAACAGCAACAACCCCAGCCCTCGATAGATGCACCCCATCACGAGCATACATTTCATTTCTTCCATAGAAGTGTTCCCAGTTGTCTATGAAAGATATTGCATTTGATTTGCAATATCTTTCCAGCCGGCAATTGACACCAAGTGCCCTCGACATCCATTCATTTCCCACTCCCTTTCTTGGAAGAATGCCACATATGATCGGGATTCCTCCCTTGCTCCTAACTAATTCAATGGCTGTCCTGAATCTCTGTATTAGTTCCTCACTCCTAACTCGCCCAACATCATTACCCCCTGCACTAATACAAATAATGGGTTTGTTCCCATTTCCCGTCATAATATCATTCATGTTTCCAACAATATCACCAATTCCAGCTCCCGGATAGCAAACCCTTAATCTGTTCCCCCTATCTCTGGCACAAAACGTTCTGTCTAAATACCTCACCTGGGAATCTCCCACAACCAAAATTCGCTTCGGTACCTCCTTAACTTTCTGAGCAGCCTGAGGGGCCTGCGCTCCGCCGCTCCTCGCTGGTTTCCGTTCCGAGTGAACTGCAGGCTCACCACAGCACTCGTCCTCCAACACGGCAAATGAATTTGCTGTCCTTAGGGCGTCTGTAGGTGGCCTTGTCAAGGTCTTCTTAAGACCCCTGTCATTTCACGACTCTCCACGATGAGGTCTCGTCAACACTGGTCTCCTCCTTCGTTTCCTCCCGAAGTCTCAGCCGTCGTACCTCCTCCCGCAGGGAATCCATCTCTGCTCTCAAAGCTCCAACCAGACTC